TTTTTTTTCCTCCTTTGCCACTGGAATCAAACGTCAAGGAGAGGAAGAGAGGGAGGGGAAGAGAGGGTAGTGGGGAGAGAGGCGAGAGAGCGAGTGAGGGAGAGAAATTACGTTAAAGACGCCGCTCTGTGTCTCTCCGGAGCTGCTGCGACCTGGGCTAAAGGGCTTTGCTTCAGTTCCCCTTGCTTCATTCACCCCAAAGCTTTTATCGAGGCAAGCCAGGAGGGAAAACTCCAGTTACGTGCTGGTGTAAAAACAATCCCACGTCTCCTAACAAGCCACTTCCCAAGCGTCCCTAGCTGGGAGCCAGTAGTTTAGCCTTTAAAAATGCGGGCGCTAATGTATTCTAATGTAGGGTAAATTCCCGAGACTGGGGAGTGCGGAATCTACGGGGCGAAGGAACTCCAGCGCCCTCGCTGCCTGCTAGCTGCGGCCAGCGGACGCAAGCCCACCCGCGGCGCGGGCCGCAGTAATGCCTGCAAAGTTAACACAATAACATCATTTAATTACCCGGCGAGCCCATAAATCTCTCAGTTATGAGCCTTCAGAAGGGCCCCTGCTAGATTGCAAAACAAAACTAGAACACCAGGAGCTACGGTTTCAAGGTGACCAAATGCTTGCTGCGCGAGCGAGTTGGAAAGGAGTGGTGGGAGGGGGCGGGGGGGATGGAGGTGGGTAGTGTACAGCAGGGTTGTTGCCGATGCCTTAGTTAGCAAACTTCTCCTGGGGGTAGGGAGTATGTAAACGTCCGGGACGTTACTCGCGGATCTTCCCCCTAACACACACACACACACACACACACACACACACACACACACACACACACGTCTCTCGAATCCCGGGAGAGGAACGCCCTGGGTTACGGCTGTGGATAGATGACATGGAGCCCATATCTGTATATCCAAACCTTGTTTCTGAAAAGACCAGAGCCCTGGTGAGTTCTAGAACGCTCGCAAGCCGCAGCTTTGAAAAGTGTACCTTCATCTACCCAGGATTGCCGTTGTCTAGTAACCCCTGGTCGGCGACTGGGAGTGGAGCGGGGTTGTAGAGAGAAGGTGGAGATTTCTGCGGCCCGGGTTGAGGTGGAGGGGGTAGTTGAAGGCAGAGAGCCACTCGGCATTGAAAACCTTAGAAGAAACAGATTCTTCCGAAGCAGGTTGCGTTCTGTTTGCCTGCGAAGAGTCAAGCTAGCTGAGGTTGCGCAGATGTTGCCTTTGTTTAAAGAGACAGTAATTAAGGACAGGGTGGACATAAGTTGGAGAAGCGTGACCTATTTTCTTTTGATCAGCTGTCAAAAGAAGAGCAGGGGGTCTCCTTAAGACAGCCCCCTCCAACAACTTCCAGCTGTTAGAGAAAACTTGATAAGAAAACAAGGACACAGTCTGGAATACTGTATATGCCTCCCTGGCGCTAGAGAAAGGTTTTATTCATTTGGAAAACAGTTCTTAGTCTTGGTGACCTTTTACGGCTGCCCTCCTCTCTCTTCTAGCTACAGAGCAAAAAAAATCCACCCCCTCCCACATCATGCTGTCACATGAACGTACAGTGACACTATTTCTAGATCAACTTTATTGAATTCTGGCCAATACCTTGCCAATTATTCTTTCAAATAGCCTCTTCTTGTGATATCAAAGCCTGGGTAAGAAAGTGGATGATCCCCTGCTTTGCTAGACATACTTTTCTAGATGCTCACATCTTTTAATGTCACAGTTCTAGACAGGTAAAATCACTCAGTTTTCTGTTTCTCTGACTTTCCTCTCTCCCTCACCTCTCCTACCATCTCTCTTCACCCTCCCCACCTTATATATGGCAGCTGGACATTTGGGATAATTTGAAAGTTAATGTTTGAAATACACACCGAGTTGAACAAAAGTTCACAAGAGTGCAATCCCGTTGGTCCAGGAGTGCTCAGACACTGAAATAAGGCAGGAGAGGAGCAAAACAGGGGAAAAATCTGTTTGATGTGCCCCAGTGCCGAAGGCAGCCTCCTCTGCCCTGGCTTCAGGCTCAAGCAGTGGCCAGTGACCCCAAGCTGAGACATCTGGTAGGCACTGCCTCCGTTCAGAAACCTAGGCATATAAATTGCCATTCAAATAAAATTTCAAAATTATAAACTCCTTTACCAGTCTACCAGGATAAATCTGCTCCTGGGTATTCCACCCCGGTGTGCCTGGGAGCAGTCACGTGCTGGGGAGTTGAAAGGTGAGTTGCATATTCTCGCTGCCTCGATCCTTCCTCCCTCCCTCCTCCCCTCCCCTTCCCTCGATCAATATTGGCGATCTCAGGGAAATCATGAAATCGCATTGGCTTCTTTGTGTATAATTTCATTGGGCTAGATTAAAGCAGACTTTTCACGTTGTTTTTCTGATAGTGGTTTGAGGTTTTATATTTCAACCCAAAACCCATTTAAAAGAAAAATTAATGTGCTTATTTACTCAGCATCCTAATTTTTACTGCATTAAGTTTGCATGTTTTCTCCCTTTCTTTTTAGACCGGAAAAATAGTATCTACTTGAAGATAATTTTAAGAATATCAGTACTAATACAACTTTCAAATACGTTTTGAAATATCTTTGATTTTTTTCTCTATAGTTCTTCGAGAAAATAAAAAGGAAGAGTTGCTTTCTAACCCCCCCCCCCTTGTTAAGCACACATGCTCTAACCTTCGGAAGCTCTACGACTCAAAATTTTTTCTTTTAATTTGAAGTTACACTCCTGTTCCCCCGACCGTATAGAAATGTGGCAGCAGAAGTGCTGCTTCACGACTGTTAGAATCTGGACAAACAGTTGCACCAGCCATTATATCAGGAGCAGGATATCCATTACTTAGAATACCCCATTCGCAGGGCCGATTTTCCTCAAGACCAAACACTTAAATGATTCAAAAGAAGCCTGTAAATAAAATGCAGCTTTGACAACAAATATAAGCTATTGTACTGTAAAAGAAAAAAAAATTGAAGTTGAGCAAGTGCAGAAAAAGACTGGAAAATTTGACTGGACTTTTCATATGTTTCTTCACATTAAAAAAATTTTAAGGGTCTGAGAGGGGGAGAGACATGAACATTCAATTAAAACAGAGACCCTATAAATTATTCACGAAAAAAAAATAAACACACAAGTAAACCCAATCTGGATAAGGGGTCCAACAGCTCTGTTTTTACTAAACAACTGTAACCACAGCCCAAACCCCGGGTAGAACAGGGGCTGCTTATTTCCACCCAAATGTTCAAAATCCTGCAGAAGGTTTTGTGTTGGGCAGAACGCATTTGCGCTACAACTAGGTTTATCAGAGCAATACAAAGAAACATAATGGTGGGCTGACTTGGACTATTTTATTTTTGTCCTTCCCCAAACCATCTGGCGTGTGAGTGTAGGGGTATTGATCAGGATCTGTGAGCTGCAGACCCCATGCCAATCCATAGCGTTTCTGGCAATCAGCGTCGCCCATGAATTGCAGCTGTCTGTGCAGCTCCTGAACAGAAATCTTCGAAAAAGTCCCCCACTTATCAAACACATCATCCGTTCAGGGGTAAGTCAATGTCATTTCTTTGTCATTCCATGAGCAGGGATTATGCAGGAGAAAGTTTTTGTTGTCTGTTGTATCTGCTGCTGTGCTTTTTTTTTTTTTTTTTTTTTTTAAAGGAAGGAGAGCAATTTTCTAGCCATTGAATGGTAATGGTTTTCCAGAAAGGCCTCAAGCGTTTGTAGGAATCTGACGACAAATACTGTTTTAATATTGTGGGGGAATTTTAAGAGGAGGGGGACATTCTTATGTCGCTATACACAAACAATAATAGTGATAATAGAGGGTTCCTTTTAATGACAGGATTTTCTCCCCTTTTCTCGCAGCCCCTGGTGATGAAGACGCCGCAAGTCTGTGATTACACTTGCAGATGGACGGTGGGTGCTAGTGGCGGAAAAGGCGTCTTCGGAATTGTGGCTCTGTTTGATATCTCCATTAGCTGCAGTTTTCTTCTGCCTGAAAGCTCGGGCTGGTTGAGCACAGGGAGAAGAAAACCAAAACCAAAGCCTAGCCCCACTAACTCCCTTCGGCCTCTGAGCTCAGAAATTCACTGATACTTCTCAGTTTCCAGGTGAATCTAGGAAAGTCTGAAACAAAGTTTTCTAGGTGTTGAGGCCGAACCGGTCTTTCTTCGTCGGCTTCTGGCTCTGCGTGGATGTTGTTAATATCGAAAAGGCCAAGTTAGAAGAGCTGGCGGGGGACTGCCCTGAACTTCTGTGTGGACAGACAGACACTTTGCGCCAGGGTCGGGGGAGAGTTGGCGTTTGTTAGTGTTCTTCCCACCCTCAGCTAGCCTCTTAGGAAAAGAAAAACGAAGCTCCCGGAGCCCTCCCTGCCGGGGGAGCGTTCTCTCGGAGCCCTAAGCCCTGGTGCCTGGATTCGAAGGTGGGCAGTAGGGTCGCGGTGCGAACCCAGCGGGGTGTCGGAGCCTGGGCTTAACCCACCTAGCCTCAGTAGTCCAGGCGCGGGGAGTGGGCGAGCTTGGGGGAGGGGAGGGGCGGAGGAGACCCCACCCCAAGGAGCTTTGGCACCTGCTCTGGGGCGGCGGGTCTGGACAGGCAGCGGCAGCCTGAATCCCGACCTCCGCAGAGCAAAGCTTCTAGCGCGTCCGCCTGCCTAGTTTTAAAGAAGGCTTGGGACTAGGTCGGCCGACCTTGATCGCCTCCCTCCACTCCCTCAGAGAGGGGACTGCTGGAGTTTTGTGTCCTCAACGATACACACACACACACACACACACACACACACACACACACACACACACACGTTTCTGTCCTCTTTCCTCCCTGCCCTCACTGGGTTCCCCGGCCCCCTCTCGGGAGGAGTTTGCGCGGCGTGGGTGCCCGGGCCTCTGATCTGGACCCGAGATGACTGTCGCCAGGGCTGGGTGGCGGGACTGCAGTCCCTGCCAGGGCACTTTCCTTCCTTCGAATTCGGTGCTCACGACAGACTCTCCTCTGGGGGCCTCCCTTCCGGTTCTGTTTTAGACGCTGCTACCACTCGGGAAGCTGGTGGGAGAAATAATTTGACTCTTGGAGGAAATTTAAAAAGTGAAGGGGAATTTGAGGATTCAGAGCTGCGGAGATCAGAAGGCTGATTTATTTATTTAGTTAGTTAGTTAGTGGGAGGAGGGTGGGCGCGGGGAGCCGGAAGCCTGACTCTCACAACTACGTAGGCTTTTTTTTCCCCCCTGAAAGAACGTTGAGCTTTAAGAAAGCAACTCGTTAATCTGAAAACCACGACGAATTTTCTCCTCACCGGCCTTCAGTTCCTGTCCCATGATTTCTCTCCCCCCACAGCCTCGAAGTCTTGGTTTTAAACCGTGTGGAGCTGCGGTCGCATTTTCTTTTTACAGTGGGTTTCCAAAAGTACCATCCAAGTATACTTAAAGTTTTCCTCTTCTCCAGTTGTCACCCCACAAAAGAATAACTGGCTTGAGGTCCTTTTGTTCAGGTCAACTTGTGCGTGAAATCTTTTTGTTGTCCTTTCAAAGGAAGGCAAAAGTTGCAGTTGATTTTAAAAAGGACGAATTTAACTCTCTGAAAGTGGAGCTGTTTTCAAGTTGCTCTGAGACACTAAGCACGGGCGTCGCTTTTATTTATTACCTTCTTAAAACGATCATTTATTTGCTCTGGACATAATTTTTGATTGAGGATTCAATATTGTTTAGACATTAATACAGGTACCTAGCACTTCCCCTCTCTATGAAAATGGGGGGTTTAAAATTTTTTTCGTATAATTTCAATCGTTTAGCTACAGTTGATTTTTTTCTTTAAAGTACAGAGTATTAAAAAGAAGAGTTAATCAGATTTTAAACTTGAAAAATATTATTTCCGATTTCAAAGATAATATTTCTGTTGGAAAACTAAAAACCAACCCAGGGGTATAAAATATTTTTGCGAATCAGACCATTTCTTTTTTTAAAAAAAATCGCATGAGATATATTTTTTAGATTCCTGGGATATCAGCTTCCAAGGATATTAAATAACCAAGGAGTCCGAGCTGATTTTTCAAGGTGATACAATCAAAAGTATAATAGAAAACACACTCGGATTATTTTAGGAGCATTTAATCTTTGGAAAATCGCTTCGATGGCACTTTTGAGAAATTCTGAATTGTTTCGCTTCCAAACGTGTAAAGAAAAAGCAACTCTGGCCAACTGTAGGGTTCAGGGGCGGCCGTGGTCGTTCGAGGAGCGGGCCACAGTCCCCGCGGGCCACTTCATCCAGCGCCGCGCCGGGCCTGGCCGGGCACAGGTGGTTTGGCTGCTTCTAAAGATGCCGGGCTCCGAGGGCGTCCTGCCGCCGGGGTTGGGAGAGCGATGCCCGCGGCGCTGCTGACTCCGGGGAGACCTGTTGGCCTCGAGGAAGCGGTGTTTGCGCCGACCGGCCGGCTCGGCGCGGAGACCGGCGTCGAGGCCGCGGGCGCGGGAGGCTGCGAGCGGTTCCCCTGTCGGACCGTGCCCTCCAGCTGCCCGGGTCCTGCCCTCCCGGCCCCGCGGAGCTCGGAGGCCCCGGGACCCGCGCCGAGCCGCTTCTCGGGGAGGGGGCTGCGCGGCCCCACGGCTCAGGAGGCGGAGGGAGCCGGCCAGGATTGATGTCTAAATCAATGCCGTTTCTAGGCGCTTCTCTCTACTTCTCTCCATCTTTCTCAAAGGCAGATCGCCTCCCGAGGGTGGATTTCTTCTCCCTTCGCGAAGTCGGGGAGAGGAGAGAGTCCGCACTTAACTGAAACCTCAGCGCCACGCGAGGTCCCTGAGAGGTGGGGGAGATCTAGCAATAAGCACCGACATGGAGGGAAACTGCGGGCCTGGGAGCCGCTCGTCCCTCCTCATCCTCCTTTTTTCCTCAGGCTGCTTCCCCCTCCCGCACTGTTTCCTACACCTGAGCTCCTGCTTCCCTCGACCACCCAGAATGGCACCCCGGCTCGGGCCGCTCTCCCAGCGGTGGCACGTAGCAAGGCCTGCCCCCGACCGCCCTTCTATCTCCCAACTGGACCCCCAATTTGACGGGATCCGGAAGGGGAGACCCCTAGTCTCCGACGCCAAACCCGGCCCTGCTCAGGACGGCTTGGCTGCTTCTGATTTAATTATTCACTGATGAATTAGACAGCTGCAATTGTGAAAAATCAGCGGCCACTATTGATTCCCGGAACGAGTAGGAGGTGGGGAGGCCGCGGGGCGCAGGGGGAGGGCGGGGAGTCGGCTCCGGCCCTCGGGTGCCCTCGACCGGGCGGCCTGGCCGGGCCCCCCGGCCCCCCGCCGAGCACGCGGCTTCGTAGGGCCTCCAAGCCTCAGGCTCCCCTCCTCGCGCGAGGCCCGCCGGGGCCCGCCTGTGTGTGCGCGGGGCCGACAGGCCTGGTCCACCCCCCTCGGGCCTGCGCTGGCCTCCTGCGGAGAACTGAAGACAAAGGGCAGGACCGGGGGAGGGACGCTCCCTCAGGGCTCGCGGGGGACGGCCTCGGGAGCGGCGGGCGCCTCAGGCTCGGCGCGGCTCCCGGGCCGGCCCCGCGTCCTGCAGGCGGAAGGGCGCACCGGCGGCGCTTCCGGTCCCCGCACGCCCGGCTGGGGGGCCTCGTGCGGCCGCCGCAGCCGCCCGGCTCCAGGATGCCCCGGAACACCGGCTCCCCGCAGAGGCCGCCCTCCTTGTGGTCAGGGCTGGCCACGTTCGGCGGATAGTGGAGACTTCGCGCCACCGCCGCCAGAGCAACAAGTCCAGGCGGGCTCGAGGCGGCGGCACCCCGAGGGCAGGCAGTGGATGCCATTTCCCTCTCCTTTGTACCAAACTGAGTGAGAGATGTGTGTCCTCAGAACCAGAAGTTGACCCAACTGTGTGGAGAATACATGCTAAAGAAGCCGTTATGGTCTCATTGACCCAAAAAGGTAGAAAGATTTGGTGTATATACATAGCGTATGAGAATCACCCCCTCTCCCCGCCTCGCCCTTGTATCTATATCAGAAAAGCACTGGCGGCCAGAGCGTAGTCCTTTGACGTATACATTTTATGTCCGCTTCGTTGGGCGTCTTAAAACCATGTGGTTTTCCATTGCAATTTGAAATTATTTTCTTATACGACATTTTATAAGAATCAAATTATACAAGAAATATGTAGGCTATGTAGAGCAAAAGTATTACAGGTGTCCAAAGCTCCTCATTACCGATGTTTCACTTTTCTGTTTCCTTCTAAAACTGCCCTTAAGTATTTTACTGTCTTCCTTTGTTGGAGGAATGTGTGCTTCAGACTTTATCCCGGAAAGAGTTGAGCACTGGCTCCCTGGAGATCAGATATAGAGTCAAAAAGGGCCCTCTCACTGCATTGCCTGCTTCATAATCCATGGGCTGAGTATAGGTCACTGAACACAAAATGGCCTTTCCTCTCTTGCTTACTGAGATGGTTTAATGGATTTTGTAATGGTTTCCCAACTATCAGACTGGGGAAACCTGGTTTGTGGGCATTGTTTTCACATCAACCAAATGCAGTGCATTTGTCAAATTCTTTACCTTATCAGTATAAACGGTGACAAGTTAATGGAATTTTCTGGGATAATTTTGAAATATCATGTTTTGAAACACTAGGTTTCAAACATGCTTTGTAATTTTAAATGTGGAAAACCCTTAAAATTTTCCATTAAGTTGATCCTGGTCTTGGTGAAAGTTCTGGAAATCCTTTCAGTAATATTCTATATATATCTGCTCCAAAACTATGATGTTTGATCTGGTTGCAGTTTTTAGTAGATCTCTCCCTTCCCACTTTTTTTTTTTTTTAAGTAGGAGACTTTGTCGGGGAGGGAGTGAATTAGGGTGAATTTCAACCTCCAGTAAAATAGAGGTGGGGTGAGTGGAAATATTTTTAGGAATTCACAAACCAACTAAGGTTACCTAGATTCATATGATTAAGGCAAGGATTTTGTGTTTTGGGAGGACGGAGTTTTTGCCTTTTGCCTTTGCAGTTTTTGCCTTTGCTGTTCCCAGTGACGAACTATGTTCATCCCCAGTGAACTTGGCTAATATTAGCTCATATCTGAAGCTTCAGTTGCCATTTTTATACTTCTTTTTTGAAGCTATTTGCATATCTGATTTTCTTTGGAATTTTTTTTACTTTCTTTTTTTCTCATACTTTAGTTTTTCTCCCTGTTATTCTAAACTTCTCTTTTTAGAGTTATTACTTGATTAAATTACTCATTACTTAAGTGATACCACTCATAGTGGTAACTAATGCTATGAGATATCGTGGCATACTTGGGGAAATGATGACTAAACCTAGTTTAGTTAAATTTTTTTTCTTTACTTGACTCTTTCATCAAGAAGAACTTGCCTTTGTTAAATATTGTAATTTAGATATTGGGACATAAATGGGGATAACTTTGTAATGATTAGCTTCATATTCCAAAAGCTTTAAGGCTTCTCCTTTTCAAAAATGAATTTTCTTTTAGTTCTAATTCCAAGTGACGTAATTCAGTGAGTGGGTTCTGGGTTTCTTGGTTCCTATCTGTAACTAATTTACAGACCAAGCAAGACAGAAGGAACAGAAAACAGAATGAGAGAACAGAAACTGTCATGATTTAAAGTGATTCATGAGACCAGAATTGCTTCAGAGTTATGTCAGTTTTTGGAAAGAATTATGTCATTTTTTGGAAAGTGTTACAAATTTTCGATTAAGGGATTTCTTCTGAAGGGAATTTTAAGTTTTATGTGGAAAAATTGCTTGTTTAAGTCCTGTTTTTTCAAAGGGGAACCATAGCAATATTTACTATATCATCAAAGTGTCCTGGCTGGAGAGATGTGGGAAGTTTCAAGGGTCATGTTTAACATCAGGTTTGTTACACAATATAAGCAAACAGTAACAACCCAGGATATTTTGTATTCTTGATATTCTGAAAAAAAATTGGGTGTCAATCAAATGAACATATATTAAACCAGGGTCACTTACCTTGTAAATGAACCTTCTGGAGGTACCCATTTTAAAAGTGAATAATCCCTTGGAAACCAATTATTTATAATTATATATATATATATGCTTAAAATATAGATTTCTGTAAGTTGGGGCTGCTTACAGTAGTGAGTAGTTAGGGTGGGGTGGGTGGGGTGAAGCAGGCAGTGGAAGAAGTTACATCTATAGGAGTTTGTCCATAACGGGGTAAAATTTATCCCTGTGGTTTATTCTCCCCTTTATGACACTTCAAATCCTACCAACCTTTAATACTGTGTTTGTAAACTTTCTGGGTGATATCCACAGTAGGAAATGGATTTTACATTGCAACCCTAGTACATATATATGCACA